GTGGTTTCTCTTGAAATATAACTTTCCATCTCGACCCAATACGTCACAATCCTCATATGTATCTGAAAATTAAACAGAAGTGTTATTTTTAATGTGTTACTATTATATTTATAATCAAGACAGGCTATTTTTATATTTAAGGATTATTTATGCTGACCATAAACTGTTAACTTATGTCGTAATCTATAAAAATTATTAAACATTAGCAATTATTAAACAACTAGCTTTAGCTCATAGCCCTTTATATCATTTAAATTATAAAATTACAAAATTTTAGAATAAAGTCGCATACCAGTTTGCTTGGCCACATGTTCTAGATGTTCTTATTGAGTTTCCTCAAGAAACTGAATATATCCTCATAGGCTAAAAATTCTTCAGTACTATCTGTCTGAATCGAATCTTGAGAATCGTTGGTGTAGGAATCATTTGATGGTATAGAGCATGTTGAATCTTTAATGATTTCGCATGGTGGATTCTCGATGTTACCAATTGTTTTCCATCGTTTTACATATTCATGTAAAAATGACAAATTTTTCATTAATGACCATTTATTCTGGTCCGATGCTCCTGATCCCAAACGTATTACTTTGCTTCGTTCTTTCGAAAAACGATTACGTAAAGCAATCCACCGATCTCTACATTCGGAACCTAAATAACAATTACAATTATTTAATATTGTTTTCTACCAAATATATTTGCATTTATATAATTTTATATGCGACATATATTCATTACTTCAATTGAAAACGGTATTAATTATTGAAAACTAGTTATTTATTGAAGTTAAACTTTTTATATCTTCTTAAACAACACAACCTAACTTCTATTTGCGTATACAATAAAGCGAACAGGAATTTAAGAAAGATTTTGACATTAGTATTTCTATGATAATCAATATTTATCGGATATATCGTAATATACTCACTTGGTGCATTCAATTTCTTGCCGGCGCGCGATAAATTGCCAAGAATTTTCAACAACATTCTTGTTCTTGTAATCTTTCGTTTTTATCATTTAAGTGCCGAAATTGTTCGACCCATAAAATTAAATCGGCATCGTTTATTCTCATTTCTCTTCTTAAACTTTTTAGATTTAAAATATAAAAGATTTTAAAACTATTTTTTTTTCAAATAGGATTTTTCAACAGGTTAAAAGAAAAGTTCTTTTACACTTGAATCCCTTGGTATTTTGCACTTTTCCATTCTTTTGTACTTTTTTCGTATTTTTCCGTGGCCGGAGGCCGGTAAAGATAAAGTTGAGTCAACTTTTCGGTTACAGTCAAAATCAACAGATTTTTGCCGCCTATTATAAACGGTAATACGGGTTTCCTATCTTCCAACTTTTACGGCACCGGCCTAAGTTAACAGTTACGGCCTATTATAAACCATGATGTAATAAGACAGGTGAACCAACGCGCATCATGGCAGCCAAGCAATAAACCAGCCAATCAAGAATCTGTCCAAAATGCAGCGCGATTTTCAAAGGCAACATTGATATATGTGTATGATAAAAATGTAAATAAAAACGTTTGTAAATATATAATATGAAAATACTGTTATAAAAGCCTCGTAAAATAATAAAAATACATAATAAAAGTAAATTAATTATAAATAGATATATTGATCAATAAATTAATAAGTAAAATAGTAATATAGAAGATTAAATGATTACAAATAAAAAATAGAAAAACATTATTAATAAGAAATTATTAAACATTATCTCACTAATGCGCGCGTTTCTGGTTCAAATTTACTCCAATCTCTTTTACAACAAAGGTTTTTGCGGAATTGTTGCAGGCATTATAGTGAGTTTTATCTATATTTAATAAAGTTTAGTAAATATTTAGTAAAATTTAATGAAAACTTGCAGCAGTTTTAAGTGTTGTCAGCGTCAGTTTATGTATCAAGATTTATAATAAATGTAATTGCATGATTTAACAAAAGATCTCTTTATTTAGAATATTTTTTCAACCTATGTTTTCTTTATTACATAAACGATATAGTAAATAAATTGATATATTTGGCATGATATATCATAATACATAAACGATATAGTAAATAAATTGATATATTTGGCATGATATATCAATATCATATATATAGATACTATATATTTTATATATAGTATATAAATTGATATATTTGGCATAATTTGAATTGTTATATAATATTTTACAGTTTACAGATATTCATCTGACCTGCTCTTTTAATGTCACTGTGAATGTGTATAACTCTGGCTGGCCGATTTCTTAGCCACTTACTAATTC